GTGTGACCTTGGGCAGTACTCAGTAAGAGAAGGTGAAAGGCCGGGGGGGGGGGTCGGTTTGGAACGGTTTGCCTCCTGTTAAGAAACATTAAAATAAGGAGTAGAAAAGTGCAGGCCTTATTGACAGCTTCATCGAAAAATATCTGTTAAGTACAAAAGTGTCAAAAGGAAAGGCTGTGAGAAAAGCAGGCAGAGATCTGAAGAAGCCAGAATGAAGAAATGTCGAGAGACCGGCAGCGCCGCGTCAAAATGAAGGCCTGAAGAGAGATAAGACACTAGTTTCCTTCCATAAGTTCATCACTGACCGTCTGAGGCAACAACTGTCTGCAGACCAGTTTCAATCAACTACAGTCATTATTATTATTATTATTATTATTATTATTATTTTTGACAGTTATCAGCAATAAATCAACATCCGTATAGTATCATCATCTCTATTATGCGTTTATTATGGTCCATCATGTGTGTGTGAAAGTTATTAGTGTGAATCCTTCCGTCTGCCACAGCTGGTGCCCCGCTCCAGTCTTCTTCCCGCCTCCCTCGTATTTCACCCTCCGCCCCGCCGCTCTGCCGGAGCATTAGGAGAAGATGCGGATGCACTGTGTGGTGGGGGTGTGGCAGACGGGGCACTCCGGCTCGGCTGACTGGCAGATCTGCCCGGCGCACTCCATGCAGAACAGGTTGTGGCCACACGGCACCAGGGCTGCTGTCACCTCGCTCTCGAAACACACAAAGCAGTCCCTGTTGATCCCGGGGCCGACGCCGACCAGACCTGCGACCCCGGGGCCTTTCAGACGACTCAGCATGCCAGAGCTGAGACCCCCGCCGCTGCCTCCCTCGGAGTCAGTGGGGGAGCCGCCGGGCAGGGAGGAGGCCGAGCAGGAGGAATAACCGGTGGACGAGCCGGCGGAGCTGGAGCTGGACGCTCCGGAGAAGGAGCCGCCGCCTGCGTTGCCAGACTGCAGCCAGGAGAGAGTGCTGAGGGGGTCGCTCTGTGCACGGCGGGCTAGGGGGTGATCCATGGGGCCCACGCCCGTGTCCTGAGGGAGAGTTGGAGACAATCGTGGGGTGATGGCGCCACCGCTGAGGCCGCTGCTGTTGCGACGTAGAGGCTGCTGCTGGGCGGGGCCGGGCGTCTTATTGCCTGCTCCACCGTTAACGAAAGGAGCCCAGATGTTGGCGGCGCTGAACTCGAAGCCCAGTTCATCGGAGGAGGGCATCCCTGGGGTGGAGTCTCCCCCGAAAGTGAATCCTCCTCCCGCACTGCTGGAGCCTGTGCTAAAGGGGCTGGTGGGGCTGCCTGACTCATTGGCCTTGCGAGTGTTGCTGAAGTTCTCTGAGTTCATCCCGCCGTTGTGCGTGTGATAGGCTGCTGACGAGGACATCTTCCGGCCAGAGGAGTGGTGCATGGACATGGGAATAGGAGGAGGTGGGGAGCCTGGAGGTGGAGGGGCCGCAGAGTGGTGGCCAGAAGCCCTGGACCACAGAGTAGAGGCCAGCCCCGCACTCAGGGCGCCCAGGCCTTCAAGACTGACATCAGTGCCGTTGGAGTGGAAGTCGTTGTCCCCCTGCAGGTCTACAAAGGTTCCAGTTCTCAGGGTGATGTGGGTCTCGATCTCCTCTCTCGCTCGGTCCACGTTCTCCGGCATGCCGGTGACCTCGAACACGGGGTCTTTCTCTCGACTGGGGGTCACGATGTAGGTGTGAGTCTGCTGCTGGATGCGCTTGATAGTCGCTCCCTTTGGTCCAACAACTAAACCGACTACTCTGTAGGGAACCCTCACCTGGAAGAGAAATATTTCAATGTTACTATGTAGGTGATTTGTAGTTTATTTTAAAACACATTGGTTATTATACATCCAGAGTAATAAGAGCTAAGCCATGGGGGGTTCTCTACCTGTATGGTGGTCTGTCCAGGTAAGTGTGGAGGTCCAGGAAGAGAGCTGGTGCCAGTGCCCGTGCCAGTTCCAGTGCCAGTGCTGGTTCCTCCTCCTCCTCCTCCTGCCCCGGGCCCTCCGGCTTTGCAGCGGGATGCCCGGATCATAGAGAAATGCTCGGCCGCAGAGACAATTTCACGTTTAGCCATTTCCACATCCTCCCTTCGCCCTGTCACGATGAATACTGGCTCCTCGCCCCTGACTGGAGTCTTTATGTAGGTATTTGTCTTCGCACGCAAGGCCTTAATCTTGCAACCTGAAAGATGCAGAAGTACATTAACACCATTATTAAACACATTCAAACACGCATTTATAAATTATATGTGACTAAAGTGAAGGTTGAAATATGGTGGTGATTTGACTATATAGGGATAGTTTGTGGTGTTGTTGTTTGAGTATTTACCAGGCCTCATGAAAGTAATTTCAGTACAATTGAACCACAAACGACAGCCTCCAAATCTCCTATATAGTCAAACCCATGTTCCTCACAAGGCCTTTCTACAAAACCGATCATTATCTCTTAATAAAAAGGTAGGTTTTGCAGGTCTATTGCATATGTTAAAACCATGGTAAGAGTGCATAATTAAGCATCAGCTTTGTTACACACAAACAACATTGAAAACGTCTCAAATACATATTTGAACATGGGGAGTATGCTCAGTTGCATCAGCATGTGTGTACTTATTCCTCAATGAAATTCATTAATCATAGCACTCCGGTTTAAGGGTTTTAATGAATGCACCATTTTCAAATTTATAAAAACATATACGTAGTAGCAAACGCATTATGCATAAGCAATATATGAACGAAGAGCCTGTCTGCCCAAACACCAAGTCAATAGCTGGTGCACTGCTGGTGTCAACTCATGCTCTGTTTCTTTAAATATGGACGCTTCATTCTCGGCGACCAATAGGACGCCCGGAGTGTGATGTCATTGTGGGAAGCAGAAAGCATGGCTTTTTCAAACAAAGAGAACAATGCCTCAACGCTGCCGCGTCTGAAACGGGCGAACCAAACCTACAACAAGAACCAATTTAAAATGAATGATATATATTGATAAAAAATGTTAAATAAAAATGATATGTGTAAAGAGAAACGGCTCAGGAGCGAGGAGCAGCCTCGGCAGACAGAGCTGGGTGCAGGGCGTAACACCGCCCAGTCCCATGTTTCTGAGCCTGCCGCGTTTTAGCTTAAAATCAGCAGCATCGACACTAATAATTTACTATAAACACCAACATGAGTTAAAAGGTGAGCCCAGTGTTTAAACATGCCCATTTAACCTGTGATGTATAAAATCTGCACATTTCGGTATATTTCCTTTGTTTGGTGCATGCTGCTAGACATGTCCAGACTCCCGACAATCTGCCGCTTTGTCTGACCCTCTCCACCCCTCCCCCTCCCTCCTACTCATCACCCACACTCCCTCACTCTATGTCAAGGCATTGTCTTATTACTGTTAGAAATTGAATATTAATACATTATGTATGGCTTCTTTAAGGGAGTAGCCGCATTATGTTGACATTAAAGACCAACACAGTGAGTGCGGCCCGACCAGAGCATCAAGCTGAGGCAGTAAAAGTTCAGAGACCCTCCTCTCTCCAGACTGCCACCCAAACAAAGAGCCACCAGGCTGCATTGCCTGGCCGAGCTGTACACAAACAAACCCCAAATAACCCCTCACAAAAAAACACCAAAACCACTCATGCTCTTACCTTGTCTTCCCACTATTTCGGCCACATGCTCCGAGCTGGGGACAGGCACACATTCAGTCATGTTGACACTTCTTTTCCTGCTGCAGAGGACGGAGCTTTGTTCCCCGTGGAGCATTGAGTGGGAGCCGGCCATGTGGTACCCGCCCGTGCCGTAGTACTCCGGGGATGGAGAGCAGGACGACGGCGAATCCCGGGACCCGTTGGGATGCTCCATCATCTGGAGATCCACGTAGCCCACACCGCTACAGCCGTCAGAGCCCGGACCCTGGGACCCATCCAGAGGGTCGACCATTCCGCCGCCCACACAGTCCACCTTCTCCATGGCCATGAGTGACAGCTGGTCCAGGGCGAAGCGGAATGCCTCTTGGTGGTCCTCGTCCCGGGACTCCTGGTCTGTCTCCCGGGGAAGACCGACCCCGTTGTGCTGGCTGCTGATCACCACGTCGTGGTCCATAATCTCGGGGTGGAATAAAGGGCTAGGCATATTGTCTCCGTGGATCTCACATCAGATCACCGATGCCTGTTTGTTGGGAGTGAACTCACTCTCTTCTGAAAAAAAAATTAATAAAAAGCAACAAAAAAGTCAAGTGTCTGTTTATCATTAAACACACAAAATCAAGACAGGAGTGGAGCACCGTGGAACTGCCGATCATATAAAGAGTAGCATGCAGGAGCAGTGTTGATTTGGGCGCCTTGCTTTGTCTGTTGTTGCTTCTTGTCTGACAACTGAAACCATCCAGGTTGTTTTGTCGGGATAAAGCATGTCCGCCTGAACGCAAGTGAACACAGTATTCCCTTGCACAAACACAACTAACATGTGTGGCACCAACGACTGACACTCTTAAATGTACTGATCAAATACAAAATGAAAGATAAAAGATTAATATTATCTGTTGTTAGCCCCAAGAGCCAGGCTAACAGGCTAGCTCCACACAGTCGGCACTCAGTCACGTTGTCGACCCCTTTGTTTGGGAGCAGCTCGGCTAGCTGCTAGCTCTGCTCTGACAGTCCAACTTGTGCCCATTCTCAACGGTTGATTAAAAAAATTAGACAAGGGCGAAAAACACACGAACTTACTTTATCTTGCCTTGGTCGATGAGATCCTGTCTTCGCTTGTCGCCCAGGTTTTGAGGGAAAAGATGAGAAGCAGCCAGGAGGAGGAGGAGACCAGCTCTGTGCAGCGCTAGGGAGCTAACAGGGTTAGCTTAGCTAGCACGCTAAATGGGGGGCGTAGGAGAAAAACGTTTAAAATCGAAAAGAGGGCACTGTTGTTGTTTTTGTTCTCTTTCTGGAGTCAGAGCGTATTCCTGAGAGTGTCAATGTGTCTTCATTCTGCTTTCCAGCAGGGGAACGTAGCTAAAATCCAAGGATAGTTGTTGTCTTTTTGGTGAGAATAAAAACAGTGGTTCTCGGCTCTCTGCTGCTGCTGCCTGACCCCGGTCCGCCGCCTTTGTCTCGCCAGGCGCACGCCGCTCCGTCTCCCGCACACGGCACTGACGTCACCCGAGACACAACAATGGGTTCAAAGGCCACATGCAGCATCAACGGCAAGCCACCGCTGCTGTCAGTGTCTGACAGTCTGCAGGGAGATATTTGATTTACCAATTTTATTACACGTTTTTGCATCGCCCACAGTGAACGCATTGCTGTTTTTTTCTTCTAATGTGGCCGTGGTTTGGTGTGTTCATCATCCTACCAATGAGGTGTTTTGGGTTTTCCAACAACAGCCTTTCAAGATGCTCATACAGTGTGTGCGTGTCTGCATTTTTATGTTCTTTCTAGTAGTTACATTTTCAACGCACACCCTCTTTTTTTTTTTTTACTATGAATTGAAATAAATAAACAACAGTTTAGTTAGTGTATTTCTATAGCACATAAAAACAACAGGAGTTGACCCACATTGCTTCCAGCCAAAGGGGGATGGGTTAGAATTTCTCAATTCAGGTATACATAATTTAAGAAATAGAGGCATAACTACACAACATGTAACACAAAGAACCAATAGTAATACATTCAAATATTAAGTCAGGAGAAATCTAATAAAACATAAAAAAGATGGGAACATCGGACTGAAGACAAAGGAATATTTTTTTCCAAATAAATCTTAAAACAAAGCTCACATGGAAACTGACAGCGAAGTGTGGGGCCCACAAACAAACCAAACATTTGACAAATGGGAAAATCATCCAATAGAAAATGCTGACAATGAGTTTTGCAAACGCATCCTCCAGGTTCACAGGAGAACACCTAACAACGCATGCAGAGCGGAATAAGGCACCTTTCCATTATTAATACAAATCCAGAAATGATCAATTAAATATTGGTTACATCTAAAATAAAGTGACCCCCACTCCTACCACCACAAAGCCCTGCAGCATCAAGAGATGAACAAGGAAAAGAGTCCCCTCTCTCAGCTGGTCCTGACACTCCACCAGTCTGAGCCCACAACTATTACAGTCAACCAGATTATAACAAAACACACAAAAAACGACCTCACTTATTAGAACACTAAATCCCAAACACAAAGTAAAATGCAATGCTATCTGGCCCTAAAAAGACAGTACACTGTGGCAGCCTACCTGACCACAGTGACTGATGTTAAACACAGGAAGATGTTGACAAAGTACAGACTGAGTGCTCACAGCCTGGCCATAGAAATAGGCAGGTACAAGAAAACATGGCTGCCAAAAGAGGAGCGATCATGCCAACAATGTGGAGGAACTGCTGTGGAGACAGAGCAGCACTTCCTCACACAATGCCCAACTTTTGAACCTGTAAGGAAACAATTCTTCCCAAAACTCAATCATAAGCATCCTCAAATATTTAAAAATGAAAAACAAAAAATACTTCTCGGGGAATATAAACAGAGCTGCATTGTGGCAGGACAGTTTGTCTCTGCCACAGTTTGAGGGAATCGGAATGAGCAGATATACCAGGTCTCACATCATATTCTATTTTGTATTAATGTATTATATGAATGAAATTAATCTGTATTCCTTGTACAAAAAAAACATGTTCTTAGCAGTTTGTTTATTTGTGTGTATTTTTGTTTAGATGTTGCAACCATACAGAGCTTTGGCAATACTGTATGTAAATATGGTCATGCTAATAAAGCTATTGAATTGATAAATGAAATTGTCCATAATGGCTGGGTAGAAATCCCCTCCTGAATCGACACTGTTTTGACCAACTCATTAGCTTTGGCACAACACAGACTGTGGATTTGGAAACAAGGTTTCATCCCACTTATAACATCCATATACATATGTGTATGTTAGTATTGTTTTATGATGGACATGAACAATGTGAACCCTTTAATTGAAGAGGAATAAGAATACTATCTTAAAAACCTGTCCAACTACCATAACCTCCAGTATCTAAGGAGGATAATGACCAATAAAAGACAATCAACACCAGTTTTTAAAGAGCTGCATTTATTAGACAGAGACAAATAGTGAATCTTGTATTGAGGTACAGTACATCTTGTGTTGAGGTACGTCAGTGTTGTACTTGTTTTTGTATTATCTAAGGGTACATATTTTTCCTGTTAAAGTTCGAGCTGATGAAACAGTACTGATTATTCTTTTGTCAACACAAATACCATGGCTTGAACTTAAAACCATGTAAACTCTCATTATTGTAAGAAATAACACTGCTTTGAACTGTAAAACCTTGAATCAAACAAACTACATTTTAATAATCCACAGCCACAAGAGTGCTGTGCACATGTAAACATACTGCAACCTTACTGCAACCTTACTATGCTTCTGAACATAAAACACACTACCTACAGTGCCAGATTAAAATATAAAAGAGCAACATGTTTTAAAAAATACTTAAGATGTCAACATGAGCTTATACATTCAACACACACACAAACAAACAAACAAACAAACACACAGTCACATACATCAGGTTTGTGTTTTTAACTTGGAGCTTGAACAGCTGTTAACTAAATGTAACACTGCATTGTGTAGAGCAGCATCCACAACTGCTGTGAAACTGCCTTAGAAGTATTCTTATGGGAACAGTAAGATCCTTTGACTCAATATAGTATCAATAGTGAAATGGCGATGTCACTGTTTCCTGAAAACAATAAACAGTATAGAGTCTATAGACAGTTCCCAAACATTATTAGAGGTAAAAATGAACTAAAAACCCAAAGGACCCTTTCAGAAGTACACCGTAGCACAACAAAAATAAAAACAAAAATAACAATCTTTGTTTAGGTAAACAAAATCTGCAGAATGTCTGCATTTAGGGTATATTTCACTTGAAATTGAGTAAAAAAAATCTTCATGGAGCCAAATATTTGAAAATAAAAAGGAGTTTACCAGCAACTTCATGTCAAACAAGCCTATGGAAGAGATGAGAAAGAGACTTGTTACATGTACTGCAGTTCATACCAACTGAAGACAATCAAATACAGAGGCTAATGGATGGAGAAACATTAAAGTTATAGCCAACAATAGATCAGGTCCTGCAGTTCTGTGTACCTTGGCTATAATTCCTCCTTGTTCACCTTCTCCACCTTCTCTTCTGCTTTGTTAGCTGCTGCTGCTTCTGCAGTGATGTCCTCTATATGAGCCAACATGTCAGCCGTGAGGGCTTCCTCCAGCCGCCGCCTCACACTCTGAACCAGGTCCTCCTGCTTCCTGAGACATAGACCAAGACAAGGAAACTATGAAAACAGCCATTTCATGGCGAAAGACGATGAGGAATTAGTTCCACCAACTGTTTTTTTGTAAAGCGACCTTGGGTCCCCTGAAAGGCGCTATATACATTTAAGTTATTATTATTATTATTAAGTGAGGGAAAATGTATAGCAATTTAATATGTTTGTCATTGCTGTATGAAATATTTATCACCAAAGTACTGCACAGTGCAAATTAGACCAATAACAATTAATCTTAAAGGTGGGGTATGTAATTTATTTCAGAAACACTTTTTGTTATATTCCATGGAATGCTCTTAACATCCCGATAGCAATGAATATATTAAATGCTTTGACAATAAATACATACAAAAATGTCATCTGTGGAAGCCGTGGTGCTGTATAAAGCACGACCAATCATTTTAGCCGGCTCAGCTAAAATAACTGGATGGCCTACCTGCCTGTCAGCCTTCCATCTGTGCACAAACTTATCTCGTGCCCTCATTGGTCATGTGCGCGTTCGTGTGTGTTGGAGGAGGGGCTCTGTAAGGAAGTGGCAGATTTTTTCCGGTTGTGTATTTTCAAATTCTAGCGCGCTCAAGCCGATATCTCCAAAATTACCTACCCCAACTTTAACCCAACTACCAAGAGCAATTTATAGTGTATATTTATTTTTTGTGTAATTTGTCACACATGCTATGTAGGTGAACAATCAAAAAAGCCGAGACTATTAATAGTTTTAAAAACACTATAGAAGCCTTGAGTTGGATTGAGTTGCAGTAACTTCCTCCTCACAAACACATTTTAAGCTTGGTGCTTTTCGTCAAGCCACACACATATTTACATAACACCAATAACCATTTACTATATCAGTAACTTACTTACCGATAATTACCCAAAACTAACTACAGCCCCTCCAAGTCGCCCTACCTTACTGTGCCATGACCCACAATAGACTGCACCTCTACAGCATACTTGAGACACAGATTGTTTCATTCCAACGTATATGTGAAATTAAGTAACCCGTACAGCTGTGTTGTTGTGCGACCATCTCACCTGATGTCATCGTCGGTCACTACGAAGGCTTTGCAGAGAGGTTGTGATGTGTTGAGCCAGACTCCAGGGTTTTTCTCCACAGCGGCGGTAAGCTGTCCGGTGACAGGGGAGGGGCTGGTGTGCAGAGCACTGGCGATGGAAGACAGCAGAGTTTTATCTGAGCTCACAGGACCAACAGCTAGGTAGAAGACAAAAGGGAAGCACAAGTCAAGCTTCTAGAAGAACCCCAGTTTTTAACCACACAAGGTCATGTTTGCCTTGGTTATCTCACCCTGTAAGCCTTTGGGAAGATCCATCGTTTTCACCAGCTCCTCTGCGATATCAAATGCATTCAACCCGCTCAACTTCCTCTCCCAGAATAGCTGGAGATTGAAGCAAAACAGAAGTTTTATGTGCACAGAGCCAGAAAGCGACATTAAAGAACACCAAGTGTTATATAGGCTAGTATTTGTCAGCTATGCAAAACATTACAACTACATGCAGCAAGAGAGATCAGAATCAGAATCCCTTTATTAGTCCCTCAGCGGGGAAATGTACAGCGTAACAGCAAAAGTGGCATAGCAGGCAATAATACAGTGTGAGTTAACTTATTAAATATAGAGAAAAAAAGCACACATTAGCAATAGAATCAAAATGATGACAAATAGGTACTCCACTTTAATTGTTGGGACATTTGAAAATGTATTTTTTAACTTGGTTTCACTTATTATTGTTTTAATGGTGAGACTCTAAAGAACGTTTTATGCTATATTGTGTTTGTTTTGTCATTGGACTTACTTGTTTCGGTTGGTCCACAGACTTCTGCGGGTCCGCCTTCACCTTGTTGTTGGGATGATTTGTTACCTTGGTCACCGGTTGTTTGAAGATGGATGCTGTCTGTCGAACTGGTAGTGTTGTGTTTAAATCAGGCTTGGACTTTAAGAGAGACAACAACATGACTTATAACCAGCTTTGATGATAGTAAAATATAACCGTTCTTAGTATGACCTTTCTGAGAGGTAACTGCATCTACGCAGTTGTATGAATGCGTTATCGTTGTATCATTACAGAACAAGGCGAACAATGTAAACATGACAATCAACTCCCGTGATTATTATGATGAACAAACTGTTTTCAAATGTAGCCCGGTTAGACTCTTTTAAAACAGAAGTAACTCTGTGATGAGGGTTATATAAAACACTTTGGATGAGTCCTTGAGGTTCTAAGTCAATCGAAAATGTGTGGCTGAATAACTGAAGGAAAACTGCAGTGTCAAGACATACAGAGCTGACACAAACCTTTTTGATATACACTCAAGGCTGTAATCACTACCTAATGGGCCTCCACTGATTGCTTCACATTGAAGACTCTTGCTCTGTTGGGCATGGTCAGAAATATATAATTAAAACCCATTTGGTTCAATTATGTAAAACCTCCAAGGGAGGTGAATATGTTTTACAGGCCCTGTATACTAATTTAAGTGTCCAGAGATCACCATGAAGTTTCAGGGGAAATGTCCTTTCAACTGGCACTGGGATATAGGTCTCATTAGTACGGGGGGGGGGGGGGGGGGAATGCAGACTCACCCTGATGTGATGATTGTTGTCGTACAGATGCTTGTGCCTGCTGCGGTGCACTTTGGTCAGGAGCGACCATCCAGCTCGGGAGTGGCCGGCGTTCACATCCGTGTGAAGGTGGTTGCCCAGACTACGGACTATCTGGGGTTTGTTGAGAATGCGCTTAACAGGTATACTAGAAGAAAAGAAGAAAAGTCAACATCAACTAATGTTCCTTCTCATATAACTAAGGCATTAAAGCCGTTATTACTTATCTCAAATACTAGAATTTCTCTTTTTATTTACATCATTTATCGGACAGCTTTATTTACTTCTCAACATTGATTCTTTATACCTTTATTTTTGATTTGAATGTTTCCATTGAACTAAATGATAAAACGTTCTTTCTGAGCAGTGGTAGTTAAAATTAGCCCAACACTAAACATCTACAGCAGTAAAATGCTAATTTCACAGGTGTAATATTAACCCAAAAGAATCAAAATGGTGATACATTGACAGGGACGATATTATTATGATATTTTAGGTTTATTATAACTTAAGTAAGCTTTAACATACCAGAGTTTTTTGTGTGGTAATAGTACCGTTACTAAAGTAAAGGATGACTGCTTTCCACCACAGCTGGACACCATCATATGGTTTATTCTAAATGAATGAATGATCTCTTTACAGGCATTGATGGCACTACCTTTAAATGATCACAAGCTGTAATTTGTCGCAAAATAACAGGGGTTCCTACATGGTTATCAATGCAGCCCATCTGAACACGCCCACAGGTGGAGTTATAAGCTACAGTTTGGGAAAACACCGGTTTGGATGATCGTTTGTAAGTGGAGCTTCAGGTGTTATCAGTAAACCATCAACTCTGTATTTGTAATACATTAGACTGGCTGGCTTTTCAAGCAAAACCACTTTGTTGAGAATAATATACCAACTAATTTAAAGGACTTGTAAGCCAATGTAAGAGCTACATTATCTACGAAACAGCATATCCCTTCTCTCCTAGTTTAAAAAGGGAAAGTGAGCTGCAGCTGAGACTTTGAGAAGGAATCCTGGAGACGCCGAGCCGGGGCCCAACGCGCCGCAAGTCAAGCGTGTGTAAACAATGAAACTCAGCTAGCTAATCAAGCTAGCTGCGCTACTAATGTTAACGTACGAGCAACTACCGCATCAATTAACATTCCATTGTTCTCAAGTGGACGTTTACAAACCTATCAAACTCAAAACTATCCAAAGCGTGCGGTAAGAGTATTAAACAACGCGTATACAACACAGACATGACCATTTTGTAAGAGTTGTTCTGAACTGCAAAACGCATGTATGCATGCGTGCATTTCCTGCAGAGAAACTTTTATTTTACCAACTCATAGGGCAGAATATTAAAAAGTCTTACCCTTTCCTTTCCATGGTCTTGGCTTTCTTGGTTTGCTTGTCTGTGATTCTGGCTCAGGAAAGATAAGAAGCCAGCTATCTGTTTGTTGTTGCAGTCATAATTTTTCACGGCACGGTTTGTTGTCGATTCCCTTTGCTGTCTATCTCCCGTCAGGACCTTCGCAACTGCAGATCACTCCGCCAGCCTTCTAACACAATGAGCGGAAGACACCCGCCACATCCGCGGTGATATAGTGCGAAAGTGATGCGCCAAGTTACCGATGCAGTGTGCAGAGCAGATAAGAGTCTATGGAGGTTACTCTGTATTTTATTAATAAAGCACGAGACTTTCTCAAACGTTTCTTTAAACCACGAAGTGTAAATAAAAACGTGGCAGGCATTTCAGAGGGACACGCAGAGGGCTAATACGTTTAAGGCTTTTTTTCTCCTCAGTTATATTACAGAATGCATCGATGATATAATTTTTTTAATAATGGTGCAGAGAAAAGGCCCCTTATAAAATAAGACATGAACAAATGGGGGAACTTTGGGAACCCTTCGTGCAACCTCACACAAATACAAACTCAAAAGGTGGACTCTAAATAAGGTACATTTGACTAAATATTTTGCATCGATGAAATTGTTCTTGAATCTTTAATGAAATGTATTGACAGATAGGCCTTATGTTACTAAAGTTTAAAACAATTGGATGAAGCAAAAATATCAAAGAAATTAGTTGTAATACTAATTGCCAAGAAAAACTGAAAACTAGAGCCTCAAATTGAAATTGGATTTGTTATGAATTTTTATCTCATTTCCTGTTTATTTCTTTGTTTTTAACCAGACACCATCATTACATCTATTTTTCTCTGAATCTTTTTTTACTGGTAAGAAAAATACCTAATACTTTTAGCTTCCTGAAGAATCCGAAGGCCTTTAGGATGCAAAATAATTTATATTGTATTTTTTCATTGAACACATTTTTGTGGAATGCTAGCTATTTTGCTAAATCCCCCATGAAACTCCAATGTACATACGTCAGATTGACCACATAACCTTGAGTCAAAGCGATACTTGAAAAGATTAAGTCAGCCTTATGCGACTAACATGATCTAAATTACATGAAAATGACTGTGTGCTTTAGACATGATATAGATAGTACATTTGTTAAGTGTGTTGTTTAGCACACCCGTCACCCCATGAAAGACATATATTTACACAAGTTCGACCACTCTGCAATATTCACGGCAGTTCCCACCAGTGCCTCAACATGCATGGATGTACATGGACCTGTTCATCACAGCTATATTGAATCATTAAATCACAAGTGAAATAATAATACACAACCACAATATAGGATACATCTCATATACTTTACTTCAAAACAATAACAGAGTTTTTCAATTAAGAATCAGGTTTGACGCACAGAAGACTGATGAATAAAATGAATACCTGACCTCCAAATGAAGTGGGGAAAAAGAAAAAAGTCCATTTGTCATCGGTGTTCTCATATTTCTTCTATACATGTTTTTTGTTGGTTGACGACCATTGAAATGACAAGTCCAGTGCATTTCCATGGATGTTGATGATGAACAGTTCAATGAGCTGCAGGGTTAAGATGACACCCTCCAGTGGCCTGCAGGACACACGACGCCAAGCCGAAGCATTCAAGTCTCTGTGTAACACCGACACCAACCTGTCGAAAAAAGGGAAAAAAAAACATTAGTCTGAGAAGTAGAAATGTGGTTTTGCTGTGACAGAGAAATCAAGCTTGAAGGAAAGACAGCAAGTTCAGTAGAAAAAGTTGTAACAAGTGACACTTGAAAATATGTTTGTTTTGTTTACAGATGACACACTTTGTTGTTGTTTATTCATTAAAAGCACAATGCAAATCTCACTTAACAGTCAACACTCTTCACAGACATTTTGTATTTATTAAACTATTCATTTTGGAGAATTCCTAGCAAAATAACTAAGCTGCAGATCCTATCTGATGTTTCAGAGGTGTTCTAGTCTTATTAGAGGCTAGTACATATGGTTTTAAAACAGGCCACTGTCCTGGATACTGGTCTCCTGACACCCTAAACTACCTGGCTTATTGTTTCAGAATTACACTCTGTTTATCATTTCCTTAGCCATGACAGCTGCTTGCAGTGGAGAAGAAAGTAGTGGTCTTGGCAAGTTGACCATACCAGTTGAGGTATTTGGTCGCAGAGAGTACAGAGTTACTACTATCGAATACCTGGATTAAGATGTTTAGAAATGTCAATCACACTATAAAGAAAAAATAACTTTATATTTTGTTCATTTTATGATATTATGTGCTGTTTGACTAAATGGTTTTGGATAATTAGTTTACTTGGGAAATTGTAACTTTCTTAACAATGTCAATGTGGACAACAGCAAAATGTGCATAGCCTACACTCACAACTTTATTAGAATCGTTAGGGTCTTTAACAGTATGCACCTTTCCAGTGTTTGACACATTTTAAACCAATTTTTAATGTCTAAATAAATAGAAATAGCTAGAGACCAGTTTTAATCAAGACAATGACACAGAATAAGAAATGTGAGTGTGAACAGTATGAGGGATCAGTTTAAGGCCAATTTAGATGTAAAGGTTGAAACTAAGCGCCACAGGATAGAAGTTCCTTGTTTATGGCTTTAAAAGATACAGTAGGAACAGAAATAATGATAGTGCATCTACTGCTCTCCGTTTGCAACACATGCTGTTGCACCTTCTCTCTTATGTCTGCAGTCATCTCTTTGCCATTCACTGAACAAACCTGATATCCACTACTTGTCATTATTGAATTTGCCGCTAATGTAGGGAACATAATCCAGAATCATTCTCCAGTCTGTGAAGTGGACCAGAGCTACGCCTCCCACTGAACCCCATACGGCCAGAGTGGGGATCCTGTGGAGAACAGAACATTGTCAAGACTTACACTTTTCTCCCATTCAGAGTGGATATACAAATTATGAAAATTGTAAATGTTTGTTTTATTTTGTGACTAAAAATATAAATTCTGAACACATACACCAAAGAAAAATATTAAGCACCTAATGAGAAGTTAATAAAGAAGTGTTGGCGTAAGGCATGTCACAAATAAACAACATTATTCCTGATAGGCAAAAGATAAACAGATTTTCCGGTTAAAGCTTCACTGATTTACATTTTATGAGTGACTTGCCTTTTTACCCATTTATAAATACGGATGTATTATTAGAAAGTGATTAAATTGATAATAAATCATTTTTAAAATAGGTGTCTCTCAGATGACTCATACCATACAGACACAGTAATAGGTTAGCAATTAAGACACCAAATCAGACCACATTTAAGATTTAAAGACATTTATTTGATTCGTTAAGGATTAATTAATTAATGGACAAATTATTTGTATCACTAATCATTTTTGTCAAATCTGAATAATTTGCTCCTGTGGGTATTGTCCAAAGTATTCATAGTTACATGTCGAATATATGTAATAATTATATGTTATGTAAAGCGCTTTGAGAATTCGGAAAAACGATAAATTAATGTAATGAATTATTATTAATCTTTATTAAAGCTAATCTTCGGGTGAGATCAGCTGACTAGTGTTAAGGTTAACTTTTATAAACAAGCTAAACAAAAGGTATAGAAATCGGGAGATTGCTATGCGAAAACACTCAATGAGGACAAAGAAGCTCACTTTGTTTGTAACTTCATAATTGTTATTTTTGTCATCTTTATTCTTAGTTTAACTGAGAAGTATTCAGCAGCACGTCCCCAAAGGATGACCTCGGCTAAGCTAACAGCTAGTGTTAGCTGAGGACACGATGAAGATTATGTTGACGTAAGTCTGACTTCTCTTCGGGTTTTAGCACTACTATTGTAACGATGTAAAACAAATCATCTTACCATGTTTTGGCAATGGACACATATTTTGTACCGACCACTTTAGCGATCATTTCTGCTGAAATGTGTCCTCCGTGTCGCTTTAAGAGCATAAAAGAACTTCCGGTTTGCTACTGTGCATGTGAGTGATGACGACTTCAGTTCATTTTACTCGGAAAACATCAAACAGTGGATAAAACTGAACACATCTATTTGTAACATGAACAGTTCTATCTCATAGAGGGTGTTTCTAACGTCAAATTGAACGTGTTACAGCTTTATTATCTGTAGTTAATGTTTTGCTAACATGGCTAATCCTTAATATATGCGCGTTTTTTCAAACCTATACGTAATATTTTACACACGTAAACAAGTACATTTCCTCAAGTATTGTAGTTAATTACCATTTTGACAGACTTGTGCTTTACTTAAGTATTTTACACTTGGCACTTCTACCCAATACAATTGAGAGGTTAATATTTTACTTCTACTCCACTACATTTATTGAATATCTTTAGTGACTTGGCACATTTTGATTAACAGTATGAAATATAATCAACACCTAAATTAAACTTTAGTTGCACCTGAAGTAATAATAATAATAAAATAATAATAATGCATTTTATTTATGGGCTCCTTTCAAAGCTCTCAAGGACACCTTACAGAGCATAATTAAAAACAAGCAACAAAGAAGATCACACAGTAATACGACAAAGACTTAAAAACAACAATCAGTTTAGAAAAATTATTAAGATATTGAATATGCCATTTTAAAAAGGTGTGTTTTCAGGCTGGATTTGAAGGTTGAGAATGAGTCCATATTCCGGATGTCTTGTGGGAGAGAGTTCCAGAGACGGGGTGCAGAGTGGCTGAAGGCTCTTGACCCCATGGTGGTCAGGCTGGCTGAAAGTACAGTGATTAGGAAGGCAGAGGAGGATCGGAGGGCACGAGAGGGAGTGTAGGTGTGAAGGAGTTCAGAGAGATATGGAGGTGCAAGAGTGTGAAGGGCCTTGAAGGTGAGGAGCAACACTTTAAAATCTATGCGGTATTTAACGGGGAGCCAATGGAGTTGTTGGAGAACCGGAGTGATATGATTAATGGAAGGAGTTCTGGTAATGATACGGGCGGCTGAGTTTTGGACCCCCCCCTACCCCAAAAACTCCACAAAAAAAACCACAACAACCGACACCCACACACCCACAACCACCTACCACTACCCACAAAAACAAAACAACACAAAACACCACGAAACAAAACAACAACCAAAATACACAGCCAGAAAGACGAACGAGACAGCTAGTAACCACTGACACACGAAAAAAAACCAGCACAAAACGTCAACCCACAAAAAACCCCCCCTCCACCCAAAAACCTCCACACACAACAAAAACAACACCAAGACAAAAACACCACGCCACACACAACCACAATCACCCCCGTCAAAACACCACCAACCAAAACCACAAGCACACACAACACACCCAAACCCAAAACACAACAAAAACACCACAACAAAAAACACAACACCACCCCCCACGAACCCCCAACCCACCCACACCCACGCCCCCACCGTCGCCAGCACCGCCCAAACCCCCCCCCCCACTAACAAACCACCGCACCACCCCCACAACACAATGCCCACGCCCACAACACACAACCCAAACCCACAAACGAACCCCCGCACCCAACGAACACCCCGCCCAGCCAACGCAAACGCCGCACAAAAAACTACCCACCCAGAAAAACACCAAACAGGACAAACACCCTCACCAAACCCCAAAACGCCGCGTCTCGGCGAGAGGAGAGAGGTGATAGGTCGAAGTCTTGAAGGTGACAGCGACTTTATAGTTTGATTAAGCATTATTTATAGGTGGAGCGGTCGGAATGGGGAAGATTGGTGATCAGTTTGGCGTAGGCAGATGGAGGAGAGGAGGCGAATTAATGGCTGTATGTAAGGTGCGGAAGTGAATGGAGACGGAGCAGGGAGGTAGGAGTTTTTGTCACACCTTATTGGGGATAAGAGTTCTTTGGTCCAACGCCGGGGTTATTGCACGCGTTATTAAAGCGGGTTTTAGAGATAAATGGGTAAGAGAGGGTTCTATGAGCTTTTCTTGACACGTCGGGTTCAGGTGGTGAGTAGGCACTTGTTGTTCATTATAAAAACAAAGGCGAGAGTGTGTCCATGCGTCTCTGCCGCGTACCAATTTGTAGTGTTTTGCTAGAGGGTTCCATCGCGGACTGAGACCGGAGAATAGGTATGAGTAGGAGGAACTGGACTGACCGTCGAAACTGTGTTAGAATGTGGTGTAGAGAGAGAACCTGTCTAACAGAGGTAACCATATAGGACCGTTGTAGGGTTGTTGGACCAAATCTAGAAAGGAGAGGCGGAGGCATTGACGTGAACAGGTCTTGGAGTTTGTGAAATTTTAGTGTCAGGGTAGGTCAGAAGTGACCACCAAGGAGTCCCAAGACAGGCAACCTGGCGGAGGATAAATAGTATGGAAGATGGAGAGCTGGTATGAAGTCTTTATCGTTAGGTTAAGTGACGTGCGTCTATGTCGGGTCTAGATGAAAGAGGTGGTTTGGGGTGAAGGTGAGAGGGGGGTGCGGACAAGGCTGCGAACCTTTTAGGCCAGAGTAGGTTGAAATTTTGATTTGTCACCTATTTTGACTCAAAGAGAATCAACAAGCGATTCAGGGTGAGACCGGTTTTGACTGGATAAACAGGAGTGATAACTGTTCAAGGGTGTCAGGGTGGGAGGGGGGTTCAATTCTCAGGACCCACAGTCAGGAACTGTCGGAATTAGTAAACTCGAGTGTAAGTTGTTAGTAGTGGAGCTAGACGGATGAAGGTGAGGCGTTATAATGTCGGCGAGAGGCGAGTGACATGTGGGTTGTCGTGGCGGTAGGGAGGTAGGTGCGGGAGCAATCGTAGCGGCATAAACTAATACCGTTGGGTAGGAGAGACAGGAATGGAGTGTTAGGCGACCGCAT